CACACACACACACACACACGCACACACACAGAAATAAAATGTAAAAACAAGTTTTAATGGTTCATTTAAATTGCTTCCCTTATATTATTTAAGAAATATATGTAGTGGCCTATACATTTTCCCATGGTTTTCAGGCTAATAAATTAAATGCCAATTCTTACTAAGATGAAATGAAATAGGAATACAATAATCAATGCTATTTGGCATATGGTAGCCAAGAGAAGAGAGGACTTACTGCTCAATTTAGCCGTGCACTAACAGGTTTAGAGTTTGGTTTACAACTAGTTTAAATCTCCCACTTAAATATTACTATGGCCCTTTAAGCTCTAGGCTCATACAAGCATGTGGCCACAGCAACTTTCCATCTGTTGAGTAAAGAAAGCTTTAGAACCTGTTTGAGATCCTCAGCTGCATCTCCCAAGAGCCTGCAGTGAATTTACAATGGAAGGCCAGGAGGTGGCAGCACAGAGGATTACAGGAAGGTTTGTATAAAACCTTTGTGGGGAAGTCTACCTGCTGCCTTTACTTTTGTAGAACTTGTCCGGGAGAGTTGCAGGGTTCTGGCCTGTTGCTGTTTCTCCTGAGTGTTGTGGAGAAAGAAACATATAAAGGAGTAGTGAACTAAAAACCCACAGGCATAAATTCAGTTATCTTTAACACTCAGATGGGTAGGATCTGGGCTTAAAATTCAGGCAAGCCTTCGGTGGCCTTTCACAGCAAATGTGAATGATGCTCAGCTTTTCTCCTACCACAGTTTTTGATGCATTTTTTCTCCTATTTTGTAACTTCGAGTCACCTTGCATCGAACAAGTGCTTAATACATGCTTCTTAGAGTTTAATTGAATTGGAAAGAGGTATGGCATGATAGCTGGGTCCAGGCTTATGTTTAATTTTGGTTAGGTATAATAATAGACTTTGGAGAACACAGAATACTTGGAATTGTAGAGGGACTTGTCTTCTGGAGGAAGGAAGAGGGTGGATTCTAAATCTCATCTCTGGGACTGAGACTTGAGACTGTTCTGGGCATCTGGAAAGTGTTTGTTATGGCGGGGCAGTTAGCTGTGACAATAGAGTCTATATAGGAGTATAGTTAGAGATGGAGATATAGTTCAAGTGGGAATATTGTTCAATATAGCAGCATAGTTAGCGATGGGAGTCTAGTTAGAGATGACAACATAGTTAGCTGTAAGAATCTGCTTAGATGGCCAGGCTCGGGGGCTCTCACCTGTAATCCCAGCATTTTGGGAGGCTGAGGCGGGTGGATCACCTGAGGTCAGGAGTTTGAGACCAGCCTGGTCAATGTGGTGAAATGCTGCCTCTACTAAAAATACAAAAATTAGCTGGGCATGGTGGTGGGTGCCTGTAATCCCAGCTACTCGGG